TGGGGGGTGTTTTAAACCCAGCAGGACTTTGCAGTGAACACTCCAAACCTGGGCCTGGAGGTCAGAGGGAGGTGAGGAGTGGCTTGTGGAAGGATCCAGGGAGAGCAGAGAGAGGGCTGATGGGCTGGGATGTGGCCTCATCTCGGGTCCATGTGCTCATCCCCGGTTTTTGATGCAGTATTTCAGGAGGGATTCAGGGAGGAATACCTCAGCATCCCCAAGTTGTGAGCCAGGCTGAGCATTTCCACATGAGGGACGGCATCGTGAGCAGCGATCAGGTTTCCATCCCATCCCTCGTTGCAGCTCCTGTTTTTCCCTTTAACAGGCTTTTTGTAACAATGGGGAAGTTGTGGAGTGAATGGAAAGTAATCAAGGGGTAGGCAGGAACCAGGTTCCTCACACAGATACGGTGTCTTGATGAAGGTAAAAATTTAGGTTGCCTGCAGATAGAAATAGTTACTCAGCGAGTGCTGTATCTTAGAAATTTGTCTGTTTTAAAGAAAAAAATAGAGGAAGGGGGTGGTAAGCTCAGGATTAGGCTAGGTCACACGGCAAGGCTGTGGATTCTCCATCAGTGGAAGTATTAGGAGCAGGTCCTGCTTTGGGCTGCAACATGCAGTGTCCTGGCTGCAGAGCCCTGGCCCAGTGCCACGGGGTGCCTGTGTCATCCCACAGTGTGCTGGGGACTGGAGCACGCTCTGGGAGCCCTGGAGAGCATCACCTGCACGGGGCAGCTCGGGGAGAGCTTTCAGTATTGCTGGGGCACGATAGGATTCCTCTGGGCAGCTCTTGGAGCCGTGATGGAACACGTAGAGCCACTCTCTGTTGTGTTTCGGGATCTTTGGGCTTGTTGCTGGGTTTTCAAGGCTGTGGGAGAGAAGGAATCTTTTCCACTTGTGCCAGATGGGAAGACTGCTGCTGGGTGAGCTCCTGTGTCACATGGGAAGGGTTATGTCCATCCTGTAGCTTGCATTTGAGCATTTCTGAGACCCCGTCTCTGAGCTAAGGAGGAATAAGGAAATTTGGAAAGAAATGAAGACTCGATGGATCAAACCAACTGCTGGTGGTTTGGAGGGCCCCTTTCTCAGTTCCACGGTGTTCTCTGTGAGATGAGATACTCCTTCAGGTTGCCTCTGAATCTCTCTCGCTCCCATTCTCGCTGTCTCTCGTTTATGGATCACTGCACCGGCACGTGTGTCTGTCCATCCATCCGTCCATCCGTCCCGCCCGCAGGTGCCTCTGGCTCCATCCCCGTCCATTGCATTCATCTTCCCTTTTTCCCTTTGGCAGGCAGCAGCCGCCCGGCCCAGCTGTGTTTGGGGAGGTTCTCCCCATTCTCCAGACCAGGGAACCTGTGCTGGGAGTGGGGCAGGAGGGAGGCAGGGTTTGCCCCCCATCCCGGTCCCCTGAGCACCTGTGCCCCTCTTCCATGGGTGCAGCTCCCACACCTCCCACCATACCCAGGGGTTTCTCCAGCCAGGCCTTTTGGCAAAGGCAGCCCCATGGTCCATGTTGTGCTGGCAGTGTCCATCTCTTGCTCCGCAGTCTGTTTCCATATTTATATGTCCGGGGGATGGGCCTGGTGGCATCCTCTGAAACCGTGTCTGTTTATTCTGTAAACTAAAGAACTGTAAATAAAGTTTAGCATTCCTATTGTAACAAATTAATTTTTATGCAATAAATTATATTTCCTAGTCTAATAAAAAAAAAAAAGAAAAAGAAACAATCTGCTCCTTTTCTTTTCATCACTCGCTGCTGGTTCCTGCAGGGTTTAGCACCTGCAGGGATTCAGCTCTGGCAGCATTGGCAGCATGGGGATCCCTGTGAGCATCCCTCCAACCAGTTTTTGGCTGGGATGCCACAGGCATGCCAGTGGGAGGATGTTGCTGTTGGAGTCCCTGATGGAGATGAGCTGGAGATGGATTGATGGGTTGTTTTGGACCCGCTTGGGTGATTGCAAGGTGGGAGCCGAGTGTTACAGCCGAGTCTCTTCTCTAAGCCACCTTCTCCAGCAGTTCATTCCCTTCCCCAAGGGATATCCTGCAGAAAACAATGCCCTTTCCAGCAATGACCAGGATCAGGGTGGGTAATTTGGGAAGGGGGAATAGAGCACGGAGCTGCAATCTGCAGCTTGGACATCCCTGTCCTCCAGCATCCCCCTTTACTTCCTGCCTCGCTTAGGCACTAACGCTGCTCCTCTGCTTCAATTCCAGCAAGGAAATGAAGCCAGAAGGGTTTGCAGGGGAATATGAGGGTCCCGCTGAGCCTGCCTGGGCCACTCACTTAGTCCAGGTGCCACCAGGAGATGGCATCGTTGTCCCTGCTCTGGGCAGGCATGGGGATTCTGCAACCAGTGAAAGAAAAGGGAAGTGCTGCCCTAACACCGCAGCACTTAAAATGTAGCCATGCAAAAGTGCCAAACCCTTCCAGCTGGGCTTTCCAGCTCCGGATAGGGTGCTGAGGCAAATGCCTTCCCAGAAGAGATAAGCTATTCAAAGGATCATAGAATGGTCTGGATTGGAAGAGACTTTAAAGATCATCTTGTTCCTTTCCCCTGTCATGGGCAGGGACACCTTCCAGTAGCCCAGGTTGCTCCAAGATCTGTCCAAGTTGGCCTTGGACACTTCCAGGGATGGGGCAGCCACAGTTTCTCTGGGCAACCTGTGCCAGGGCCTCACCACCTGCACAACCAAGAAATTTCTTTCTAATATCCAAACTAACCCTGCCGTTGTCAGTTTAAAGCCATTCTCCCTTGTCCCTTTCTTTACACCCGAATTCCTTTAACCTCAATCTCCCAAGTTGCTTTCCTTGGGCACCTTTTCCACTAAACCATCTCTCCAAGGGCCCAAATCCATGGATAGCTTTGACCGACTGGTGCCTGATTCCACCCGTTGTTCCCCTATGGAAATACCCAGCTTGCTCGATCCCCTTAAAATTCAGCTGATACCTTGACCCCAGTCCCCATGACAGGTTCAAAATCGACAGCTGTCCCATTGCTAAGCGTTGACAGATTTATTCTGCAGGAGAGAGGACATGCAGGAGCAGCAGAGCAGCGCAGGGGTGTCCCTAAAACCTGCCCCCAGCCCGTGTGGGGGGCTGTGTTGCTGTGCAGGGTCTCTCGGGTGTGGGTAATGTTGTCTGGAGGGGCCGTGGTGGCTCTGGCCCAGCGTGGCCTGGCTTTGTCCCCCCCGCTGGGCTGTCACAGTCCCTTGTGCTGATGTGATCCAAGGCTCTGCTCCAGCAGTGGGTTTTTTGATGTGATGGATGGCAGCAGGTCAGAAATATAAGGCGAATCCCTCAGAGCTGATGAGCTACTGACTCGGATAGGCTGTGCCATCTCCTCAGGTGCTTTCCCAGGCTGGCATGTCAATGCAGATGAAAATCCCAAGGAGAAACCTCTGGAGAGAAACCCGTGTGCTCCTCTCAAGCCTTTCCGTTTCAGCACATCGCCAGTGGGTGCATTGGTTGCGTGCTTCTGCTTGTTTTGCTCACAGAAGAGGGAAAAAACATGGGAGCCTGCGTGTGTCTGGGGTTATTTTGACATCGGGGTGGCCAAGGCCACCTGACCTGCTCTCCTCACAGGCTCACAGGCTGGAGCTGGGTGGTGGCCAGCTGTGCTTGCACTGGTGCTACTGGGAGGTATCTGGGTCCCTCTGCATTTCTCCCATAGGCAGTTGTAGGTGGAAAAAAATCCAGACTAGACCATTTTGGGGTCTTCTGCAGAAAAGTGGAGAGCATTTTCCTTTGATGAAGAAAGGTTGGAAGAAGGGCTTTTTCCTTCAGTGGAGGAAAAAGCAAGGAAGAGACACAGGTTGGTTATCTTTACCTTAGTGACTGGAGGTGGGGAAGGCTAAAGGCAAACAGCTGGTAACAGGAAACAGATGATGTAAAACTCCTCTAATGTATTTGCCCACACAAATACAAATGAATTGGCAAAGCCTGTCTGATGGTTACAGTGGGGTTACAGAAAACCTGGGGCCCCACCAGTTTATCATTTCCCTGCATGGCTGAGGAGCCAAACACATTTTTGGGGAAGGAAAAATGGAAAGAAGAGCTAATGACGATTTCCTTTCCAGTCACACTGTGCTCTCAAGGTGAGCATTAAAGTGTAGTTTGAAGAAAATTGAGGACTTTACAGTGAAATTCATCCTGATGGGGTGTTGCAGGAAGCACAGTGAGTAAAGGAGGATCTCGGGTAAGGGGCCCCACATCCAACACAATATGTTCCCCATTCCACAAAAAAAATCAAGAAGCCAGACTGTGATGAACACTGATTTTCACAGAATCCCAGAATGGTTTGGGTTAGAAGGGACCTTAAAGCTCATCTGATTTTAATACCTGCCATGGGCAGGGACACCTTCCACTATCCCAGATTTTTCCAAGCCCCATCCAACCTGGCCTTGGACACTTCCAGGGATGGGGCAGCCACAGCTTCTCTGGGCAACTTGTGCCAGGGCCTCACCACCAACGCAGGGAAGAATTCCTTCCCAATACCCCATCTATCCCTGCCCTCTGGCAGTGGGAAGCCATTCTCCCTTGTCCTGTCCCTCTTGTCCCAAGTCCCTCTCCAGCTGTCCTGGAGCCCCTTTAGGCACTGGAAGGGGCTCTCAGGTCTCCCTGGATCCTTCTCTTCTCCAGGTGAACACCCCCAGCTCTCCCAGCCTGGCTCCAGAGCAGGGGAGCTCCCGCCCTTGGAGCATCTCTGTGGCCTCCTTCTGCCTCGCTTCAGCAGCTCCACATCCTTCCTGTGCTGGAGACCCAGACCTGGACACAGATGGGTCTCACCTGCGCAGAACAGAAAGGCAGAATTTGGGGTAGGGAGGGGGCGGGACTAACCCTTGAGGGGGCGGGGCCAGAACGGGTAGGCCACACCCCCGTCCGAGTCGGGCCGTGGCCAACACGAAGATGGGCGTGTCCAATCACGAAGGGGCGTGTCCAATCAGGAGTGGGCGAGATCAAGCTGTGGGGGCGTGGCCAACCTGTTAGGGGGCGGGGCGGGGCCGGAGGCGACGGCGGAGCCGTGCGAGACCCCCGTGAGTGCTGCGGGGATGGGTGGCTGGAGGGGGGGATGCATGGCTGGCTGGCTGGGTGTAGGAGCGGGCGGCTGGAGGGCGGGATGCGTCGGTCCCCGCTCCATAAATTTCCTTTTTTTTTTTTCTTTTTTTTGCCAAACCTCGGTATTTCCGCCTCCCCCGCGCTCTGCTCTGCTCTGCCCTGCCCTCCCCTCCCGGGCGGGGGTTTCGCTGACGCCGCTCGAGGTCGGTGCCGATCGCTCGGTGGGTCCCGCTGCCCCTGCCAAGCCTCCTGCTGCCTTCCCGGGCCCTCTTCCAGAGCCGGGTGACGTTGTTGTGTCTTTATGAGTCATTTTGCTCAGCCCGGCTGACGTCGCGTTTAGTTTACGAGCCGCCCCGCACAGCCCGGGTGATGCCGTAGTAGTTTACAAGTCGTTTCGGAAAGCCCGGCGGTGTTACTACGAGTTTACACCTTGCTCTGCGGAGCCCGGCGGCGCTGTTGGTTCGCCGGCTGTTGGTTTTTTTGGAGCCTCTCATGAGCTCACTGAGGTTTCCTGGCCCTGCAAGGCCGAGGGCACGGGTTAATTGTTAATTACGGGCGGAAATGTGGGTGCTGCTAGGGTGGAACCTACCACGTCCAAGTCGCTTTTCCCATCCCCGTGCCGAGCCAGTTCAGCTCACTCATGCAGCACAGGGGTGCTCAGGCCCCGGCACAGGTTGCACAGAGGAGCCGTAGCTGCCCCATTCCTGGAAGTGTCTAAGGCCAGGCTGGAGCGACCTGGTCTAGTGGAAGGTGTCCCTGCCTGTGGCAGGGGCTTTGGAATGAGATGACCTTCCAAGTCCCTCCCAACCCAAACCACTCTGTGATCCCATGACTTGCTGGGGCCAGAGGAGGACGGAGCCCACGCACAGCAGCCTGTGGGCAGCAGTTTGTAACCCTGCTGTGATCACACCCTCGTGGGTGGTTGTTTTTGCAGCGTGCCAGCACAATGCACCCGGCAGCCGGCAGCGTCCCCCCAGACCAGGAGCCCCTGATCGAGGAGCCCCTGGGGAACAGGTACAAGCGACCACAGCCCAAGCCAAGTGACCACTTCCATGGGGCCTACATTATCTTCTTCCTCCTGGGCATCGGGTCTCTCCTGCCCTGGAATTTTTTCATCACGGCAAAGCACTACTGGATGTACAAGCTGCAGAACTGCTCGGACAAAGCCGGCCCAGCCGGGCAGGCGGCGTCGGACCTGCGGGTGAGTGTCCTGCTTCCAAGGCAGGGAAAAAAAGCTGCTTCCCTTCCTAACTTGCTCTTTTTCTCCCTCCGCCTCCCCAGAAGGTGAGTGAACGTCTCCTGGGGTCTCACCTGCTGCAAACCAGAGGTAGAGGTTTATTTGGGGAGCACAAATACTAGCGAGAGAGATGGTTAAAACCACTTTGGGGGGTTGTCTTCTACCTGCATTTGGAGTGGTAAGTTTCAAGGTGTGTCTAAAAAATCGGGCTAAGGCTGCCTTTCATAGGGCAATTTCTGCAGTGCAAGGTAAAAATATCTCTGTGGTGGGTTGGTTTTTTTTTGGTTGTCTTTTTTTTTTTTTTTTTTGTCCTTCAAGATCTGGCAGGTGTGACACGAATATTTCCTTGCAGCAATAAACATCTGGCTTCTGGCATATAGGGTGAGGAGCTTGTCACGGAGCAATTGATGAGACAGCCTTGGGGTGGTGCGTTTATGGCCTCCCTCTTTCTCCCCAAAAAAGCTGCCTTCTCTTGCTCCTCCTGCCACAGCAGGATTACCTCCCTGTGGCCCCCTGGCAAAGCTATGGCTTTGTTTCTTGGTGAATGGAAAAAGTGTTAGAGTGTTGAGGCTGCATTCCATCCTCCTCCTGAGGCCGAGCTTGTTCAGGTGGTTTGGGCACTTTTTGTTTTCATATAAACACAGAGCCAGGTGCGACGCCCACGTTTGCCCTCTGATTTCTCACCCCAGTACACCCACAGCTCTTTTAATTTTAGTAATTATTAAGCCAGCTGCATTTTGGATGAGGAGGAAGCAGAGTGCTCCTACCAGGATGCTGAAGTACAGGTCTGCTGGTGTAAATCACGGTACTGGGTGGATTAAACTGATGGAGCCCAAGCCCCTGCACTGCCTGAAGACCAAAGCTGCCCCTGTGCTAGTGAGGGTGGTCAGAGAGGGGTGATGCATGCACAGAGGGGGTGAAGTGTGCTCTGCCACCACGTGGCATGGTGTTCTCCCACATTCCCTGCATCCCACCCACTGTTCATTGCTTCTACATCACACTGGTCTGAGGCAGTTCTTGAAAAAGCTGTTTTTAGGTAGGGTAAGTATCCCTAGGTGTCTTCTGGCAGAGCTGTATTCCTGGTCAGATCAGCCATTGCTTTGTTGAAAAGGTTTTTCTCCGCTTTCTCCATGGCCATGGGACGATGTTTTTTTCCTCCTTCTCATGGAAAGCAACGTGGCTTTTCCTGCAGTTGAGCCTGATGAAAATTAAACCAGTCAGCCCCATTTCTGCCCTGGGATGGTGAGTCCTGGGGCTGCAGCAGGAGGGTTTACCTGCACACGGAGCTTGATTCTGGAAAGGTGCCTCTCTTCCTGGCTCCAGCCTGCTCCTGTCTCCAAACCTGCTCGCTGCTTCCAATTTCGTGCCCTGTGCTCCAGGTAACACTCCAGTGCCTTCAGCCACCGTCATGGACCTGGATTCCTTTTCCAGCCTGGCAGGAGCCCAGCTGCCAAGCCCAGGCTGGAGCAGAATAAAAACTACTTTGCAAAAGCATCTTTTGACTAATTTGCCACCACGATGCTTTGTTCTTGTTTAGTTTTTTTTTTTAAGGCAGTGTGCTTGGAGGTGCTGTAGTTAATATGAGCTTAAACACTGCCATTATGTGCCTCAGCTCCATGGCTGAGGGATGACACCTTCCCGCAGGAGAGGTGGAGCTGGAAGGAAGATGCCAGGTTTGCTTTGGGGTTTATTATTGTTTGGGCTCAGCAGAAAGGGAGAAGAACTAGGTATAACCTGCACTGCCAAAAATGTGCTCTGAAAGTGTCTGTGATGAGTGGGAATACCCACACAGGGAGAAGAGTTACCACTGGAGATGGATTAAAACCAAACGAGCTGGAGAGATGAGTATGGAGCCTGATATTTTCCATTGGTCCAGGCAAGGATTAAATTTGCCACCCACCATTCTGCTGCTGCATTAAAAACATTTAATATTTGCCCAATTTTCTTCTCACTGCTGGTGTGAGCCCATTTGTTGGGAGTGAATGAATGCTTCTTGGGGATGCTCAAAACACAGCATCTCTCCTGGGTTACTTTGAGTACACTTCTGCTTGGTGCAAAGTGTTACAAAGTTATTTTTCCTCCCCAAAAGCAAAGGAAAATTAACTTGGAAGTACATTGAGTATCCCCTGGATGGTTTGGGGGTTTGTTTCGAGTAGGTTGGTAAATAAGTTGTAGCAGCCAGCTTTGCATTTTGCTTTGTGTTTCCTCCTGTGATTCATCGTGGGGCTGTGGAGCTTTGAGCCTCCTGCTTGGCCAAGCCGGTGCTGTCAGCACAGGCATTTTTGTCTCTGTCTAGCTGGACCCTCTAGGAGTGATTATTATATTTCCTGTTGCTTACAGTGAGCCTTCTGATAGGGAAAGATAGATGAACGTGCTTATCAGCTGATTAAAATGATACAAAGCTGTAAAATACCAATGCAACGTGCAGAGAAAATGCTCAAAGTGCCTTCTCGTGCTTGGACGTGATGGGCCCTGTCTCTGTAGCTGCATAACTGCGGAAAATGAAAGCTTATATGATAGGGGTGGATGTGTAGGTCATCGTCTTCTTTGTGATCCTTGTCCTACCTGCTTGCTGAGATTCCTGCAGAAAAAAAATGAGATTAGGCACCTCGAGGGAAGGAGAGGGAGCAGGCACGCTTTGACACATAAAGTGGATTGAAAATGTAAGCGTTTGGCTGCAATCTTGGCCAAGAAATCTCTCTCTCTGTGCTGTGGTTATTGCTTTCTGTGTTCCCAGCCTGACCTCTGGGCTGGTGGGGATTCACTGGAGCTGCTGCCAGCCTGCTCAGATGATGTACAAGTCCGTGGAGTTAATGGGTGTGGAGTCTGAATAGAGTTTCTCTACGAGTTTTATGTGTGCAGAGAGGGAGAATGGGAGGGAAAGTCATGTCCCTGTGTCCCTGCTCAGGCTGCTTTGGAACGAGCTTGTTCTCATGTGTGGTGTCCTGGTTGTTCCCATCTCGGGCTTTCAAGGCAGTTGGCTAATCATAAATCAGGACACAAAAGCATTAATATTATTAAAACCAGCCCTCAAGGACAAGAAAACAGAGAGTTTCTCCAAAATGCTGGAGCCAGCAGGAGAAATCCAGCCCTCCTTATTTCAGGTGCTGCCCCATGGGGCCAGTGTGGTGGTATGGCAGGTATTTCCTTCACCTTTTTTCCTTCTGAATTTGTGTCCCTAATTTCCTGAAATAGCCCAGGGCTATGGGAAGATGAACTCCAGTATTCCCATGGCCTGTTGCCCTGAATAGTTTGCAACATGTGCTACAATGCAACGAGGTGGACACGTACACCATAACTCCCTATTTAGGACCTGAAATTCATGTGTTGTTCTTCCCCTCCCCACTCAATCTTTTTTACTTTGTTTTTAATTTTTTTCTCCTGGCAGGACTATTTTGAGAGCTACATCTCCATTGCTTCCACTGTGCCCTCGGTGCTGTGCCTGATTGGAAACTTCTTGCTTGTCAACAAGTAAGTGTTGCTCTGATCCTGGGTCCCCAAGCCGTGGCTCTCCCTGGCTTTGCTCCTGCCTTTCTCTGGCTTCAGTCTTGATTCTCAGCTCAGCCTGCCCTTCCCTCAGGGGGAAGCCACAGGGCATCCTGAGCTCAGCCTCCCTGTGCAGCCAAAATTCCCTTCCCTGCCTCTGCCCGAGTTGCAGCCGGCTGAGATGAAGCAGGGTGAAGCACCTTGCTCCCCACCACAGCACCTGTGTCTGCCATTGGCTTGAGTAAATCAGTTCCTAATAAATTCCTTGGTTAATTGCTTGGAAACAAGTTTTCCCTCTTAAAAATACCCTTGTCACCAGAGGACCGGCTGACAAAAGCCATGCTCATTCAGGCAGGAGCGATGCCTTGTCCTGGTCTTACCAGCCCCCTGAATTGGGTTAAGAAATGGACCATCTGCACCTTGTTGCAAGCTTGGCTTAAATCCACAAGGACCTCATCCCTTCATTTGTACCCTTCCTTAACCCAGATCAGGTTTCCAGGCATGTGTTTGTGTGCCTAATCTCCAGATCTCAGCTGCTGGAGACAGGCTCCCTGCCTCTCTCCACCTCCTCATTGCTTTGTATTCCTCATCTCCCCCCACCTCTCTTTACTTTCTTCCCTCCCTCTGGCGGCAGAGGAGTTGCTGTCCCCCCTGTTGCACCTTCACGTGGCAGTTTAAAGGCAGGAGTGTGCTGTCCCCCGTTGTCCCCAGGGTGCCTGCCAGCGTGCGGATCCTGTCCTCCCTCTTTGTCATGCTGGCCATGTTCCTGGTGATCACGGTGCTGGTGAAGGTGGACACCTCAGCCTGGACCACCCCCTTCTTCGCCCTCACCGTGGGCTGCGTGGCCGTGGTCAGCAGCGCCTCCACCGTCTTCTCCAGCAGCATCTTCGGGCTCAGCAGCTGCTTCCCCATGAGGAACTTGCAGGCCCTGATCTCAGGTGGGTGACCCCCGGCCCTACCAGGATCGTGCAGTAGGGCTTCCCTCTGGTTTTCTCTCTGTCTCTCTCCTGCATCTGGGGTTTTGTCACACGGGGTTTGTTTTAGAAACTTGGCTTTGCCTAATGATAAAGGGAAGTTGCTGAAGGAGAAACATGCTCGGTCACATGAGCTTTGGTTTCTGTAAATACCCATAAACTGACCCTGGATATTTGCTGGGTGCAGGGAGAAAGGGGGAAGGAGATGACATCCCTCTGCTCTGCTATTTCCAGCAGAGGGATCTTCAGCTTTGCCTTGTCTCCTCCTTTCTTTTTAGCATTTCCATGCATTTCCATGAGTGATGAGGGGCAGGTTGGGAGCTGTGAGTGATGAGCTCCCTGGAGCTTTGATAACATTATAAATGTGCTGTGGAACGGTTGACAAACCAAGAGGGGAAGGGGAAAAACTCAGGATGGAGAAATTTTTCCTGGGGCCACGACAGGAATGTTTTGATGAGTTTATCCCAGAGGGGGAAAGCACCACATTCCTGAGATGACATTCCTGCTGCTGGTGGCTTGAATTCCCATCTGGGGGAGTGCAGAAGGGAGGTGATAATGTGTGTGCCAGTGGAAAGATAGCTTTGGGAAGGGTTTGTACTTTCTCTGCAGGACTTGGGACATGCAAGCTCAGCAGATTGGTCCCATCCTGACCCATGTGTGTGCTGTGGCTGTGTTGGAAGGGGATGCAGGATGGGACCCACAAACACCCATGTTGCAGTGAGGTGTGGAAATGGAGAGGAGGTGATGCGTGCAGCTGCTCCCTGAGCCGGGTTTGGGGACCAGCATGAGGGGCAGGGGGTGAGCTCTATCCCCAGGGGAGCTGTGCATGTCAGAAGATGTGAGTAAGAGGAGGATGCTGGTTCTGGGTTCCCCTTCCTGTTCTCTGTCCCTCACCTGTGCCCTTCTGGGTTGGTCTGGCTCAGTGCCAGCGCTGAGCTCCGTCTGCTCCCACACACAGGCCAGGCCATGGGCGGCACCATCAGCGCCGTGGCCTCTGTGATAGACCTGGCAGCAGCAGCCGATGTCACCGACAGCGCCCTGGCCTATTTCCTCACTGCTGACATCTTCATCGTGGTCTGCATCATGGTGTACCTGCTGCTGCCCAGGCTCGAGTACTCCAGGTGTGTGCGCCCGCTGCCAGGGCATCCCGTGGGCACGGAAGGGTTTGCTGCTGTCAGTGCCGAGCAGGATTGCTGGAGGGATCCGTGGGGTGCTCTCTGCACTGATCCCTGTCCTGTCACCCCTCAGCATCTCAGTGGGAGCGCTCCGGCGCCTCCAGCCACGCTTCCCCATTTCACCGAAACCACAGACCTAAACTGGGTTTCTGGCTGAGTTTCTGCCAAGCTTTCTCAGGGGCACCAAGTGCTGATTCCGGGGCTCCTAAAATCTGTGGAGTCAGCTGAGAACTGTGATCTGGAGGCAGCCAGCCAGGCCCCCACAGGGCATCTGTGTCTGCCACATCCCGCACTGATGTATGTGACCCGTTGGTCTCGTTGGTGCTTGTAACCCTGAAAACCCCCTGCCCCCAAATGCCTGCATCCCCTCTGTGAACCATCAAGGGTGTAATGGGATCCCTACAGTGAGGAAAAGGGGGTGGTGGGTCTCTGAGGGTTTCACCTCTCTGTATGAGGTGGGAGCTAGAGGTGGGATGGAATCGCTGGGTCCAGCAGGCATCCCTGCATCACCAGCTTCTCTCCTGCTCTCTCTCCAAATCTCAGTTTGTATTCCCCTCACACACTGGCTAATAGCCTCCCTCCTTCTCTTTCTCCAGGTATTACCTGAGCAGCCAGAAGGAGAGCCCATCTCTGGCCACTGTGCCACCCGACAGCTCCGCAGAGGACGAGGCAGAGCCAGGAGGCACCACAAATTCCTCCCTCCTCACAAAAAGCACTGGCATCCCCCCACTCCGCCCCATCCTGCAGAAGACCGCCCTCCTTGGCTTCTGCCTCTTCTATGTCTTCTTCATCTCCATCATCATCTTTCCTTCCCTCTCCTCCAACATTGAGTCAGTGAGCAAGGCCTCGGGAAGCCCGTGGAGCACCAAGTACTTTGTGCCACTCACCAGTTTCCTCCTGTACAACTTTGCCGACTGGTGTGGGAGGCAGATCACGGCCTGGATCCAGGTGCCTGGCCCCAAGAGCAAGCTGCTGCCCGCCCTCGTCCTCCTCAGAACCATCTTCCTCCCTCTCTTCATCCTCAGCAACTACCAGCCCCGGGCTCACATCCGGACAGTGCTGTTCAAACAAGACGTCTACCCGGTGGTCTTCACGGCGCTGCTGGGGCTGAGCAACGGCTACCTGGGGACACTGGTCATGGTCTATGGCCCCAAAATCGTGCCCAGAGAGCTGGCCGAGGCAGCAGGGGTGGTGATGACATTCTACCTCATGCTGGGGCTGGCTGTGGGGTCTGCCTGCGCCGTTTTCGTGGTCCACCTTGTGTAGAGGGGCAGCCGGGCAGGAGGATCCCCTCAGTTTGTGGTGCTGCTGTTGGATATTCAGGGGATTTTTTTTCCCCAAAAAAGTCAGGCATGCCATGGTTTTGAGGCAGGCTGCCTGTCTTGGGAGGGGGGTGGTTGCATTCAGGGGGATGCAGAGGGAAAGTCTCCCTTCTGGGAAGGGTTGTCCCCTGTGCTTGGGGACGTCCTGACGGACATGTCACTCTCCAGCTTAATGGAGCAAACAGACCAAAAACGGCTCATCCTCGCCAGGGAGCTCAGGGAAGCACCAGAGGCACAAGGATACTGCCCTCACCCCAGTGCCAGTGAGTGGCTTGTTGGGGCCACCACGCTGGTTTTAAGCTGAACCCAGGACTTTTGGGGGCACCTTGGGTTTTGCTGCCTCGCTGTTACAAGTTCGGCCCTGCAGGGATTGGGTGGTCTTGGGGGGATCCCCCCTCACTGAGCTGTGATGGTGGTGCTGAGCTAAAAGGGATTTGAGCCCTGGAGCACCTTAACACAACTCTGGGAGCAGATAGCAGCCATGCCAGGGATCAGGGCACCGTTTTGCACGGATTTCATACAGTCATTCCAGAAAAAAAAGACATATATAAGGGAAACTTTTCCACTTGGGACTCTTGCTTGCTTTAATTTTTTTCAGGTAAAATGTAGTTGAGGGATCATCCACATCCCAGTAAGGTGCTATCAGTGCTGGAGCTGTATGTCATGGCCAACCTGAGAGCATTTCTCCTGCTGTGACCGTGGCGTGGTGGTTGTGGACACCAACTTACCTGTCTGACCTCCAAGGAAAGTGAAATGCTGAGTGGTCCTAGCCTGATGTTTTTAAGGTGGCTTTGGTCTGTGTTGAGAGAGGTCTATGGAAGGCAGGGAGAGGTATGAGAGGGGCTCTGGTGTGATGTTCTCAGCAGAAATCTGGTTAATTCATGTAGACAAACAGCATATGGTCTCCAGATGTTTCCAGAGGGGTGAGCTACTGTGACACCCAAAAATGCAGACCACCCAAAGAGGACTGGCTTTTAAAGTCACTTAAACTCCCATATGCCAGTGCAGCCTGGCCTAAATCCAATTATTGCATTTATTTTCTTAAATTGGCTGGATTTATGGCCTAGGAGAGGTGAACTGATAAGCAAAGGTGTGATGGCAGAGCTTTACATTGCAGTGATGCCTGAGGGGTGCTGTCTATGGAAAATACTTCCTTTAAGACTCGGTTATTAGCAGATGTTCTAGTAGTGGGATGTTCTCTCAGCATCTCCTGCTTGTCCAAGTAGTGGGGGAGCTCCTGGTTGGGGTTGCCAGGCATCTCCGTGCTGGGCTGGATGTGGGGCTTTGCTGGGAGAACAACAGGATTTGGGGTGGTTATTGCTATGGGGTGACATGTAGGATTGGTGGACATTGGGTTTTTTTATAATAACCCTTTCCAGCATTTAGTTTGGGCCTGTTGGCAGTACCCACACAGAGCTTTGCTTTATGGCTGATTTTTATTCAAACATAAAATCCAGACACAAGTGGAAAACGTACCGGGCATGTGGCAATGAGGAGCAGCTTTATGGCAAATGCCTGGGCATGTGTGGGCTCTTAATCCTGTCCCTTTGTGGGTTTGGAGCCCTTCAGCCCCTACTACTTGGCCAGGGACTGCCCTGACCCAGGTGAAAGTCCACCCAAGGGCTGAGGGTAGGGATGCTGGGTGCTGCTCAGGGGGTCAGCGCTCCCATCGCCTCCCTGGGCACTGGAGTAATGCAGTAGTTGGTCGAAAAGCCCAAACCAACTTTGTGTTGGCAACCAAAAAGTCCCTTTGTGGCCTTTATGCGTCCCACGTGAGAGCCTGCCCTGTGCTCTGCTCTCCCCAGCTTGTATGTTTTCCTCCCATCCAAGGAATGATGAGATTCTGCTTGTTTTCTCACTGCTTTGCATTTCTGCTCCTCCTCTCCTTCGTGTTACAGACCAAATACCTCTTGAGGCAGAACTTAATTGTGTGGTACCGTTGCTAATAAAAATAATTCTTGATCCTGTGCAAGTGTTGGTGTCTGGAGTGATTTCTCTTGGAGATGCACTGATGCTCGCAGTTTTAGCTGGCATTTTTCCTTCTGGTCATCCCTCTCTCCCAGCCTAGATAGCAAACTCTGAGAAATCACTGGCAAGGGCCAGGTGAAGGAGCTACAGAAGAACTGCTTTGAGAGCCTGGTTGTTCTAATTGAACATCCCCAAACGACGCATAGGTAGGTGTAGAGAGCATTCTCATGGCAGGGGGAAGTGAGCGAAAAGGGAATTTATCCTTTGGTTTTTGGTGGTATTCAGTTCAGGAAGGTTAGAGAAATGAGGGGAAAAATCAAACAGGGCAAGAATCAGCTCTGTGTATAAAGCAGGGAGTGCTGGTGGGAGTGCCGTGGGATGGGGGTGGATGGTGCCAGGAGCCTGAGCCATGAGTCTCTTGGTGATCCCCCTGCAAAAGAGGATGGGTAATTTATAGGGAATGGCATATAACAACAGGGAAGTAATTACACTACCTGGGTGAAGTCACATCTGCTGCTCAGTGTGGGCCATATCGAGGAGCTCAAGGTAAGGAAAAGTGGGATGAGGAGGGAAACGGTGGTGGCGGAATGGAGGCTGGTCTATCTTGGGTACACCAGTCAAAGTGCAGCCACAACTTATGTTTTTATGGTCTTCCTTACCTGCCCAAAAGTGCATTCCCAGGCTTTATTCCTTCGATTAACACCATCCCCTCAGCTGCTGGAGAGAGACCAGCAGGGTTGTAGATGTTTTCCCCATCTCCGAGCCGAGGGAGGTGGGCGGTGCCAGGGAAGGGCCATGGAAGGGCCATGTGCTCTGCAGGGCTTGGCCCCATCTCCTCCGTGGCTGTAAAATGAGCCGTGCAGGCATTGCAGAATTCATGAGGCTGAGCCTGCAGTGTGGAAGTGAATCAAAGACAGGCACGTATCCCTGCACTCGGGCCGGCATCGCTGGCATTCCCACCAGGAGGATGGAGAGCCCCAGTGCTGCAGAGGGCTGGCAGCCCGGCACGGTGGGAATGCTGTCCCTGCCCCATGCTGCCTTTTCCAGCAGCCTTTGGAGTTAAATCCAAGTGGCTGAGGGGAGATGAAAGCTGGGAACTGGCAAAGTAGCAGCAGCAAGGCAGGAGGGCGTGGGGAGCAGGAGGGGAATGGATGAAAGGGCAGAAAGCGGAGGGGACGCATCTGCAGGAGCTTCAGCTCAAAGGAGACCCACTGAGCCTGGGCCTGACCTCTTTTTGTCCTCTCTCTCATCTCTGTGGTGCCAGCTACCCCTCCCTGCTTCACAGCTGGAGCAGTTAAGTGTTGGTATTTGGGGCTTTAAAGCAAACAAATGTGCTGGAGGAGGAAAGGGAATTTTTGCTTTGGAGTGATACTCATTTCCCATCATTCCAAGTGGCTTTCCCTCATTCTCTCTCATGTCCAAAGCCTTGTCCAGCTTCTCCTCACTCAGTGGAGTGCCCCACAGGGTAGAAATGCTGCCCCTGTGACAGCAGGCTTTGCATTGGAGAGGCTTTGAGGCAGTGCTGTTACCCTTTGGGAGGGGGGAAGCACCTCTGAAACAACCTCATTATCCTTCAGCATCACCTTGGTGGTGGCCAAAGAGAAGATCTGCTGCCTCTTGGCTGTTCCATTGCACGTGTTTTGGGGCAGGACTTATCCTTTCAGTGTTTGGACAGGATGCACTGCAGGTCAAAAGTGGGATTGCCTTTGTTGGACCGACTGTGGGTATGGAGACTACTGGTGATACATGGGCAGCGTGTGCAGAGCTGTCACCCCACAGCAGAGCAGGTGATGCTCTCTGACGCCTCTGCAGCCATGGCAAAGGTATTTTCAAGGTAATTTAGCTCTTGGCACTTTTTCCCCTTTGTTAGGGAAGCATCATCCTGGAGATGGACATGTGACTCAAGGGCTCGAAATCCTTGGGTGATGAGGCATCAGAACAGATTGCCCAGAGAAGCTGTGGCTTCCCCATCCCTGGAAGTGTTCAAGGTCAGGAGCAGCCTGGTGTAGTGAAAAGTGTTCCTGCCCATAGCAGGGGGTTGGAACAACATAATTTTTAAGTTCACTTCCAAACCAAACCATTCCATGATTCTATGAAATGTGAGTGGTCATCCTCTTCAGCGGGGCCTTGGGGAGGGTCACCATCCCCAGCAGATGAGCTGAGCTGGATCCTGACCCTCTATAGGTGCCCCAGAGGAAAAAAAGCCCTTGGCTTTGAAACCTTGCCAGCCAGCTGCAGGCTTGCCCGGCTGCTGTTCTCCTTTTACATGTTTTATGGAGTAATTTGTACTATATTTACACAGCAGTGATAAACAGTTTTTAAAATGGAAGCAAAGAAAACGCTGCTGGATGAATTGTTACAAAAAAGCCCTGTTTGCCATTCCAGCAGGGGGAAAAAAAAGGGATAAAAATCACCGTCCTAGGGACATGCTGTTCGTCAGATCTGGGTATTTTTTGCCTTGATTTGTGTGCCTAATGTGAGCAGAAGAAGTCGCAGATGCATGCTGAATTCTGCAGGGAACATATGCATGCATTTAAATCATTTACAGCATTTACTGGTGCAATTGTAAAGCACATTATTTTTCTGCATTTGTAATTAGGCTCCAAACAGATGGTGAAGGACTGTAGCTCCTGATTAGACAGGCTTGTGCTCTGTTGGACGGCACTGCGAGAACAAACTGAGATGAGAAACTTTTCCTCCTAATTTATCACGCCATGGCGGGGGAGTGGAGGAGCTGGGGCTGGCTGAGCATGAATTCCAGCGTGCCTGGAGCAGGCTGGGCAAAGCTGAGCGAGCCATCCCCCTGCCATCCCTGCGTGCTGATGGATGGGCCGCGCAGACCCCCCTCCCAGCTTATCCTCCATCCCGGATTTTGTGACCACCCCCCCCACTCTGCACTGCACAGCTTGGGGTACCGGCAGCGCAGGAGGGAGTGTCTGCTGTGACAAATGCTTTCAATATGAAGCAGAAGGTTGGGGGGTACCCGAGAAGGGGCTTTGAAGCAGGAGCAGCCCTGGGCTTGTGGCTGCCTGGCATTAACTCCGCTCTTCAGCACCGCCTTCTCTTTGCCGCCCTGGCGAGCCCTTGGCGTGGTGAGGCGGGCAGAGCTCTGCTGGGGCAACCTCGGGAGCTTCCCGTTGAATATTCATCTCCAGGACCTGGCTCCCATTTTAACCTTGGAGACCTCTCAGACTCGTTTTTGCCCTTAAACAGCACCAAAAGCCCTTCATGGCCAAAGTGCAAGTACCTCCACGCTGAGTCTGAGGGCTGTTGCACACACCCTCCCCCAGCTGGGCAGGAGTCACCCCTCACTATAGTCACCCCACTGCCCTGTACTCACACTTCATCACAGGTGTGTGAACCCAGTCAAAATGGATTGAATGAGAGGCAGCTGGAAGAGCAGAGCGTGGCAGAAGAGTATAATGTCAGACTGAGCAGTTCAGGTAGACCCATGGGGCTGGAAGTGGTGACTCTGGGCAAGCAGCAGAGGAGCCCTCCAGGATTCCCTTGAGGCAACAGTGTGACCAAATTGCCTTTGTGTCCCCTTTTCTGGTTCCCCCCAAGTTGTGGACATGGTGGTCACCTTCTCTTGAGTTTTTATCTTGCTACTCCACTGGGTTACCAGCAAGGGTAAACACAAGTGTGCCCAAGGGCTGGCCAGGAGGGAGGTCATCTCCTACCTGGCACAGCCCTCTGATGCTCCCTGACCCCAAAGAGGGAACAACCTGGACACACAGCTCAGAGACCACACTGCAGGGAAGGTGACCCAGAAGGGGGGATGACGGCAGGGGACAGGAGCCTGAGGTGGGGACATGTGGAGGGCTGTGCCTGTAGAAGGAGGCTATGCCTGCACATGGATTCTCTGTGCCTGTAGATGGCACCTTTTCCTCTGCTGAGGAAGAAAGAATAAACCGAGGGGAAGAAAGAAACCCGAGCAGGTTAAGGTAGGGCTCAAAGCTAAGAGAAAGATGACTTAGTGTGTGGTGTGAAGAGACTCAGGGTAGTTATCCCCCAGTCCCCAAAACTGCCCCCTCTCACTGTCGCTGCCCTTGATCCAGCTCACCTGGATCAGCACTGAATACTTGTTACCTCATAGTTTACTAACATTCCCCATCAGTAGGAAATTACATCAAGAGCTGTTTCAAAAGCCAGTGAAAAGTGCTTCCAGCTGCACAGAGAGTGGGTACGAAGGGGGTTTTTGCCCTCACTAACCATTTCTGGATGTAACAAGCCCAGCCTGGGGCCACAGGGTGCTCTCAGTGCCCTTGGCAGGGGACAGGTCCTGCTGGCTCCGACTTGCAAAGGGAGATAATGCATTCTGCAAACAGGCTGCTTCGGGTTCTGCAAAGGGCAGAGCTTCTGAGCTTCAGCCACGTCCTGCAAGGCTTTTTGGGGCTCACACCTTGATCCCTCTTGCCATGTGTTACCACCATGTGTAGTCCCCACTGCCCTGTCCCAGCTGGGGATGGTTTGCCCGGGGGTAGCTCACCTGGACCCACCTGTAAACGTGAGCTGGTGAATGATGCCACAGAATTAGGCATGTGCTACAAAGGTGTGCCCAGCTACCGCCCTTCCTATTGTCTCCAGATGGACTATCACCTTACAAAGATGCAATTTGAAACCCAATACTTTTAAAGGGGAAAAAAGACCCCAAAACCAGCTGCTTTTTCAGTGCTTTTCTTCTCCAGAGAGAGAACTCCAGCAATCCCTTAACTTTGTTCAGCTTTCTCACCAGCCTCCTCCACTCATAAATTCCTAAACAAACAGCATGATCCTAATATTGGCCTTAAAATTCTGTGTGAAATGGACCTGGAAATTAATTTCACACCGGAAAAGCCAGCTCACTGTCAGCCACAGCACAGGTGGTCAAAAAGAAAACTCTGTGACTGCTGCACAAATTAATTCTGTGACACGGGCGAGAGGGTAGCACCGGGAGGAGCTGCCCCCTCATGCCACCATCCCAACTCACCCCACGACGTGGCATGCTGGAAAGCTGTG